GCTGATACAAGCACATTGAGTTGGGCGGCCCTATAAATCCATTACATACATAAATACATTTTTCGGTAGTGCATCAACTATCCTCTGTCTCATCTATTACCTTCCCAGCAAATGTCAACAGGGATCATAAAATACGGAGATTATGACAAAGACTGTAAAACATCACAACATGCTGAAAACTGCCTTACGAGGTAGATGCCATATTTTAAATAGACTTGTCTAATATATTATCCGTGTAAATAAACTGCTTTCCAGACCTTGGTGGTTAATAGTCTTTTTTGTCAAATAGTCTTTTAGCAGAGGGGTGATGTTTACCTTTGGGTATTACTGTAAAATCATGCCCATTTCATTTTATGATTAAAAAGATATTTCTGGAAAATCTTATATTGTTTTTCTACCACTCAAACAGGATGCAGTCAATTGAATACAGAATGGATGAAAGAAAAAGCTGTGATCATTTCATTGTCAGTTTTTTGTAAATGCTCAGCCTGCCAGCTGGAGCCTGCACTAGAGCAACAGGAGGTAAACAAGGTGATCAAATTAATTCTGGAAGAAGTATTTCAATGGATCCTATAAATTTAATGGCAAGGGATGAACCATATCCATGTTTGACACGGGCCTTCTTTGCCCTCCTTTGTTCTGGTTCACCTATAGGCAGATACTGGGAAAATGAAAGACACTCAACAGGCTTCTATGGGCAAGCTCGGAAGAGCAATATTGTTGGCAAGTGAAAATTTTAGGGAGCTTCGCTCAAATCAATTTCTTGAGTGGATGGAGCTCAGAACAAACTTTTTTCATTCTCATTTTCAGAAAATTTTTTATTACATAGCTAATGATTCAGGCTACATACAGATCCCAAAATATATTCTCAAGTCTCAAACCAATTTAGCAATCTATTTAAAACTGGATAACATGGACAAGAATTACTGGGGAGAGGCAAAGGAATAGAGAAGTAGCATTTGAAGGGTAAAAGCACCTCTTACTCCAGTGCTCAGATATTCCACCTGCCACTCTGTTTTTGAAGCTTCAGGCAAGCCTTCCTCAACTCTGGCAATCACCTGATTCTGGGAGTAACTCCCAAAATTCCTTAGCCAGCATTGATATTGCAGTGTATTCTGTGAATTGCAATCTAAAGGGCACCAAGATTCAGAGAAGTTCTCCATGTCACAACACTTTTCAATAACAAAAGACTACAGCTTAGAAATCTGTCCATAGAGCCAGCTATTAGTCCTCATATGTTGGGTTCTTCACCAAGCAACATATTTATGAGCATTTTTTTGAAAGTTCCCCAAAAGCATCCCAACATCTGGAAATATGTTCATTTGGGCAAATTGGTGTATTTCCATTTGTGAATTGCAATCTAAACAAATTTCTCAACCATCCATCTCTAATTGCCGCTGCTATCTTTTGCAACCTCTGGCCAGGACGAAAGACACAATAGACACTGGCATAGCAATAAACCATAAATCTCTTCCACGGTGGCACAATTCTTTCCTTGCAATAATCCCATGGGGAAGAATTCACTCAGCAGAAATGAAGATAGGTTTTCAGACCCAATACAAGGGATCTGAAAATGTCCCAAAAGTGCCATTTTCTTTTGCTTTTCTAAAAGCAGATGTGAATTCAATCCACTCACAAGATCTCCCTCATTCACCACAATGGGGAGAAAAATCCTCTTGCAAAACAACCGTTCTGTAAGGTATAGTTCTACTCAAATCAGTGTCACAGTCAGCATACAATGATATGGGAATATTTGATAAATACTGAGCCCAGAAAAAGGAAAATGAAATAGACATTATTCTTTGCATACCCTTTCACCAGACGGGCCAGGTGGGCCATCACCCCCAGCAGTGCCCTGGGGAAAAAAACAACAACACAATTTATTTCAAAATGCGATGGGCGTTTGCACCAAGACAAAAAGCTAAACTCAGAATTAGTTACTGCATTCTGTCAAAATTACCTTTGGTCCGGGTTTTCCAGTTGGACCTCTTGCACCTCTTGATCCACGTGGTCCCTGGGAGTGGGAGAAAATATGTAATTAGCATTTTTATTGAGCATTGTTGCATAGGAGAATATAAACACAGGTTTCTGACCATGGGGTGGATAGCAATAAAAAAAAATGCATGCAGTGATATCAAGGGCTAATAATGCTACTAAACAGAGATCCAACACCCCACCCCACCCCCACAAAAAAACATATTACTTACTGTTGGTCCTCTTTGTCCTCTTGGACCTGGTTTGCCATGTAATCCCTGTCAACCAAAATTCATGGAAATTAATCTGGGCTTTGGGGCAGATTATTTATTTACTGGCATATCTCTACACTACTACAATCAAAAAGATTCTCACCAGCTCATTATAGAAAGTACAAGTTAAAAGAACCAAGGTAAACAAATAAAATAAAAACACAATAGCATTACAATACAGACCCTTAAAAATAAAGGAAAGATAGCAAGATAGTTCACGAGAAAGCTCTGCAAAATAGCTCAATCTTCCTGGAAAGAGGTTTTGCCCCTTTGAAAAAGGAAAACAGAATTGTGATAATTCAGAAACCAGCTAGCATAACTATCTCCTTTGTCTTTATATTTTAATAAACAATGTGTATTTTCATACTCCGATGGTAGCTTGTCCTTATTTCTTTTGTTATCACATAAAAGTTTTGTTGAAGCTGTTCTTAATATTCTCTTTAGCTTCCTTTTTTTCTTGTCCTATTAACTATTATTCTTGGCTGCCTCAATTTGTCTACTTGAAAGATCTTCCTTTAGGAGGAATAATTTAAATCTCATCCCTCCACCTGAAATTCAAACCAGATGAATTTTCACTCTTTCTTCCTCCAATGGGTACTGAATATATTACTGAAATTGCCAAATATGCCATTACGATAAAGAAAGAAATTCAGACCCTACTGCCTACGCACTCTCATGGGCAAGAGCCTTCAAAATGCTTCTCCATAAAATGCTCTGGCCTCGTTTCCCTTGATATTCATTTCAATGAAGCCAGCAAAGAACTTCATCACAGACCGTGCGTGATCTTCCCTCCCTCAGTATTGATTGGGAGTGCCTTAAATGAGTTGTGCAGGGTTGCCGATCCTTCTTTCATTTCAGCAAAACAGACAGCTACTTCAAAGCCCCTTCCTTCAGTACAATCCATTAAGGCTTCTCTTCTGAGAGGCCTCTTTTAATCAAGACTATGATTGAAAGTCCACAGAGTAAGCAAGATGAACTGTTTTAGAACTATCTTCCAGTGATAGAAGAAAATGTGTGTATGAGTACAGGTAGTCCTCGACGTACGACCACAACGGAGCCCAATTTTTCTGCCGCTAAGTGAGACCTTTGCTAAGTGAATTTTGTCCCATGTTACGACCTTTATTGTCATCATTGCTAAATGAATCATTGCATTTATTAAGTTAGCCACATGGTTGTTAAATGAATCTGGCTTCCCCATTGATTTTGCTCGTCAGAAGGCCACCAAAGGTGATCACATGACTCTGGGACACTGCAACCGTCATAAATATGCGGCACTTGCCAAGCATCTGAATTTTGATTATGTGACCATGGGGATGCTACAATGGTCGTAAGTGTGAAAAACGGTCGTAAGTCATTTTTTTCAGTGGTGTTGTAACTTCAAACGGTCACCAAATGAACTGTTGTAAGTCAAGGACTACCTGTATAGGGGTGTGTGTGTGTGTGTGTGTGTGTGAAGAAAGGGCACCTGTAGAATTTAAGGAAGCAGAAATACTCACTGACAACTGCAAATGAAAAGTGCCCCACTCTTAACCTGAAAAATTTCACAGCCACCGATAGAGCTCAGCTGGTAGGATGTATCTTTTATTATTGATAACATATCACAATAAGGACAAAGATGGATATCGGAATTGTGAATGCTATTAATACGTTTGTTTCATGTTATGCAAATAGCAGCTGTGGAGAAACTTCCAGAGCAACTTCTGGACTCTGAGAGGTGGGGGGAACTCACCTCCCCCCATTGTAGTGCCAGCATAAATTGCTCATCTGAATCCAGTGTTTGCATTTCAAAAGAAGTCTCTCCCTATCCCTCCCCCAGATCCTTTGAAGTGCAGGGCCTTTAAAATGCATGAAGCCTCTTCAGAAATACAGTCTGTTGTGGCAAGGAAAAACAAGTTCAGACTCAGTTGACCTCTCCCCATTTGCCTAGCCCCCCCTCCCCCCATTTGCTTAGCTGCTCTGTGGCTTCCATTTGCATAATAAGAAATTAGCACATTAACTGTATTCATAGAACTGACGTTTGTTTCCATCTTGACTGTAATTGTTTTGTCAGAACCAATGCACCAATCTGGCTCTTAGCATGATGTAAACCCTCTACTCAGCGAATTATACAATGCTACCATTGTAATTAATAAAATAAAAATTTAAAATTTAAAAAGTACCTCAGTGATTATGCTGAGTCTGTAAATCCTTGCAGGAGACACCGTCTAATAAAACTAGCCCAGCAGGCCAGATGTTTAAGCCAAAGTTTCAATCTGTAGGTTCTTTCTTTCTTTTTGCCCCCAGAGTTTCCTCTCTGTATAAAAACTAGTTATCCATTTAGATAGAGTATACAGCCAAATGAAGGCCATTGTCCTTGATTTTCAAATAACTGTTTAACCGCCAATCAAAACACAATTATTTTACTTAATTGATTCAAATGTGAACTTCCTCTCTTTATGAGGATCCATTTCTTAAAATCCTGTGGGTTTAGCTCTGAATGTCTGTAGAGGGAGATGAGGTGAATATGATGTGACATGCTGTATGTCATAATGCCATTGTGTGCCATTATTTACATGACATCATAATGCATGTAATGTTAGTGTGATTTCTATAAGATCCTCATGGCCATGTAGGTATGTGTCCGTCTGTCTGTCTGTCTGCCTGCCTACCTGCCTGCCTGCCTGCCTGCCTATCTAACTATCTATCTATCTATCTATCTATCTATCTATCTATCTATCTATCCATCTATCGTATTTCCCCGAAAATAAGACAGCCGCTGATAATAAGCTCAATTGGGCTTTTGAGTGCATGTGCTAAAATAAGCCTCCCCCACAAAAAATAAGCCCTCTCCGAAAATATTTAAACGCAGAACTGGAAATCAGGTAAGACGGCAAGAGGAGCCCCATCTTGCTCCACGCACCCCAAACTAATAAGATCTCCCCGAAAATAAGGCCAAGCACTTATTTTGGGGTTCAAAAAAATATAAGACAGGATATCTATCTATCTATCCTGTACCATATATGCATATATGAATATTTGTTTTCTGAGGTTTTCGCGGGTGTTTGTATGTAGGTCTTTGGTTACTCGCGTTTTCTCCCGCGTAAAATTTGAGGTGTCTTGGCAACGTTTCGACAAAGTCTCATTCGTCATCTTTAGGCTGGTGTTTTCGGCTTCGTGCTTCTAGGAGCAATGTGTGTGATCGCAGCTGTTTTTTCCTTTTAACTGCCAGTGGGGGTGTGGACTGATTGGGTGGGAGCTTGGCTGTGTTCTGATTGGGTGGAGGTGTGTTCTGATTGGTTGGGGATTTGGCTGTGCCCTGATTGGATGGGGGGGTTGGCTGTGCTCTGATTGGCTGGGTGTGTGTTCTGTTTAGGTGGGGGCTTGGTTGTGCTTGGGTTAGTCTGAGTAGCAGGGGGATTTGAGCTGGTGAGCTGTGTTGCTGTTGTTTGGCTTCATGTTCGTGGCCGTGCTACCTCTTCATGCTTCATGTATGGATTGGGGGGGGTTAAAGTGGCTAATGATGCAGCTGTGGTCTGGCTTCTGGTCCGTGGTCATGCCTAATCATCAGTGTGGGTTTGAGTCTGCTTTCTGCGTGGATGTGTGGTGGTTACATCCTGTATGGCTCTCGTGAGTGTGGGTCTGGTGTCATTCTTTGTGTTAGGGACTCATTTGTCAATAAGGGCGGGTTTCCAAATGGCTGGTAGGCGGGAGGTATCATCTCGTTTATTCATGCTGTGTGGACGTTTTTCTATCTTGATGGCTTCTCTGATTATTCTGTTGTTAAAGTGTTCAGTTTTGGCAATAGTTCTGGTCTTTTTAAAGTCAATATCATGTCCTGTGGCTTTGAGGTGTTGGACCAGGGAAGAAGTTGGTTCCTCTTTTCTGACTGAGTTCCTGTGTTCTTCAATGCGTGCACTTATTCTTCTGTTGGTTTGTCCGATGTATGTGGTGGGGCAGGCGGTGCATGGGATTTCATATACTCCTTGATTTTCTAACTCAATTTTGTCTTTGGGGTTTCTTAGGATGGTGGATATTTTTCGGTTTGTGCAGAATGCTGTCTTGATGTTGTGTTTGTGGAGGATCTTGCTGATTCTGTCTGTGATGCCTTTTATGTATGGGAGGAGGGCTTTGCCGTTTTCTTGTTCTCTGTCTTAGATTTTAGTGGGGGTTTCTTTTTGGATTAGGTTGGTAATCTTATTTCTTTGGAATCCATTGGATGTTAGTACGTTAGTGAGAGTGTGTAGTTCGGTTTTTAGGTGTTGTTCGTCAGCTAAGCGTTTTGTTCTGGAGATGAGTGTCTTGGCTACGGAGTTGATCTGTGCTGGGTGGTGGTGTGAGAGTGTGTGCAGATAGCGGTTTGTGTGTGTTTTCTTCTGGTAGTTGGTGTGTCCTAGGGAGCCATTGGATTTTTTGTAGACTAAGACATCTAGGAAGGGAAGTTGGTTGTTCGCTTCTATTTCCATGGTGAACTGTATTTTGGGGTGTAGGCTGTTGAGGTGTGTGAGGAAGTTGTCCAGTTTTTCTTTCCCATGTGGCCAGATTATGAAGGTGTCGTCTACGTATCTGAGCCAGAGTTTGGGTTTGTGATCAGATTTTTCTAGAGCTTGGGTTTCAAAGTGTTCCATGTAGAGGTTAGCAATGACAGGTGAGAGGGGTGATCCCATGGGTGCTCCTTCTATTTGTTTGTATTTTTGTCTGTTTTGTCTCTGGGAATGATTGGCACCCAAGTGCCAATCAAAGAAGCCTTGACAGCTATCCAAAACAAATATAACCCCCCCAAGCACATCCTAGATCTGACCAACCACTGCCTATCCAACACATACTTCATCTATAATGGACAAAAATACAAACAAAGAGACGGTAGACACGCTGGTGCTCTTACGCACGGCCCTTAGTATATACTGTATGTATATATATATATCTGTGTCTAAAGTGAAATATAACAACCAATATACAGAATAATAATTAAATGAATGACATTCGAAGAAAGTAAAGATATATCCATAAAAAGTTAATATAGAATTAGCTCAGTCTTTTAACATTCCTATAGCTAGCAATATAAACCATATATTGCTCTATCTTCTCAGCCTTAATAGTATACAATATTTATATAATATACATAGTTTCTTAATATCCTTTTATTTTGGTATCTTATAATATTAAATATAGATAGGAAGTGGCTATTTTATCTAAGTTAATTATAGTTTGAATATTAGCGTTAAAATGTAATTATTTTACTTTTTCTTCAAAGTTAAATATAAAATTGGAGACAAAATGAAAAATAATGAAGAAAGAGTGTACATCAAAATCCTAGTTTCATAATGAAGGTTTCAATCTTAAGCTTTTAGAATCAGTCTTACTTGATTCTAAAATATCCAACATGTTATTGGATACACACACACATATATATATATGCCAGTGGTGGGTTGCTACCGGTTCGCCTCAGATCGGGTGAACTGGTAGCGGTGGCAGGAGGCTCCGACCACCTGCCCAGGCACTTCTGTGCGTGCGTATGCATGTGTGTGTGCTCACACGAGCGAACCAGTAGCAAACTAAATTGAAACCCACTACTGGTATATCTAAGAGGAACATGGATGCATGTGTTCCATCAGAAAATTAATGGTTGGGTTGCCTGTCAGTTTGAAAATGAATAAAGAAAAAGAAGATGAAACCCCTACTACCGGTATATATTGTGAGTAAGAAAAAGGAAGGAAGGAAGGAAGGAAGGAAGGAGGAAAGAAAGAAGGAAAGTCCTCAAAACTTTACCAACATATGTGAAGTAGCCCATCTACTTTAAAATCCTCAGTCTCTCCCCAAAAAGTTACATGTAGCCCTTGAAAACAAAACAGTTGCCCGGTTCTAGCTTAAATTATAACTGAGAAATTTAATCTACTGATAAATTGTAAAAAGGGGGACTGGAGTTTCTTCCTACTCCCTTCTCTTCCTTCCCTACACTCCATCTGTCTTTATTACTAGAAGTGTTACAGAATAGGCATGTGTTAGATGCTTTTAAATGTGAACACTTTTATTACCCTTCACATATACATGATATAATATTTATACGTCTTTGAAGGATTCAGAGAAGTCTACGTGGAGAAGGGAACCCCATTCTCCTAAAGATTAATTGTGCAAGCAATTAGGAATTCATGAGTCCCCTTTAGTTATAAATATCGTTTTGCCAATTTACGTGGCAAGCAGTCCTCATATGGAACTCTGTATCTAGACATTTAAAGTGATAAATTTCATTCGCATTAAATAAAATGAAATGATAGGCAGATTAATGGCATGCATTACTTCAGTCTCACTTAATGGCACACTAAGCTACCATGAAGTATAACTGTCAGCCCATCTTTTCCCCTTTGATGACTTTCGTGCAGCTCTATCACAAGCAATCAGCTACATCCAGCTGAGCTTTATGGATACTGAAGCTGTGAATTTTCGACAATTTGCTTAGTCGGCATTATGGATGTATTCACTATCTTCAACTAAAGAGCAAATTCTTGATATCTTATCTGTTTAAAAACGTTTTCTTTAGAATCTTATTCTATTTTTGAGCTGCAGACAAGTTGGCTTTTCAATGATATCATTGGGGGAGTGAGGTTATTCCCCAAAGCATATTATGAACATTTGTCTTCAAAAGAGCAATTTCTTACAGTTTCAGCATGGGAAGTGAATTTTCTTTTCACACGCCATAATTATGAGCTGTGGTGGCACAGTGGTTAGAGTGCAGTACTGCAGGCTAACTCACTGCTCTCTCCAGGAGTTCGATTCTGAACGGCTCAAGGTTGACTCAGCCTTACATCCTTCCAAGGTCAGTAAAATGAGAACCAGATTGTTGTGGGCAATATGCTTACTCTGTAAATCGCTTAGAGAGGGCTGTAAAGCACTGTAAAGTGGTATAGAGGTCTAAGTGCTATTGCTATCTACAAGCGTTCTTTGCATTTTATATATTTAATAGAATAGAATACTTTATTGGCCAAGTGTGATTGGACACACAAGGAATTTGTCTTCGGTGCATAAGCTCTCCTTGTACCTAAAAGCTATAATTGACAAATCATGATCATAAAAATACATTTCTCAATCAGAGAGCATGTCACCGAGGCTGCCATTGGTGGCACCATTTTGAATTCCATAATGATCTACTTAGTTTAGCCATCCACTTATATTTTCACTTGCTTCAATCCCAGGGCCCTTCTATCAAGCAATAACACCTTCTTTGAGCACAATGTCATGCCATCTCAGTGGCAGCACCTGAAACACCATCCCTCCAGAGATTTAGAGTGTCCCAACCCTGTTTGGCTTTTTGCAAGGCATTGAAGATCTGGCTATTTCTCCAGACATTTGGGTCAGATGGTTAGGTGAGTTTTAGTGGATTTGTTGCTTATTCTTGCAAGCTGGGGTATATCATGGGTCTTTCTATGTTTTGATTCTTGTAAACCAGCCAGAGACATTTGTATGCAATGGTCAGGTATATCAAACATACCAATTAATTAATCAATCTCCTTTTCACTAGCTAGGTATATGAGAAAGAAAAATAATCCTGACTGTCTATGCTTGTGTACTCTGTCCAACCTGTGTCGTGGCATCTCATTAAGCAGTATCTTTTAATTGGGAGCTGCATTTGTGTATAATAGGTCTTAAAGCTGCTTCAATTGCAGCCATAATGGATGTGTATAGCATTGATTTTTATTTAAAAAGCCTTGATACTCCTGAATTGCTATCGTTTCTTTTTTTTTTCTTTAGTTTGAGCACCATCCAACTTAGGAAATGTTATATAATATTGTACATTCCAATCTGTTTAATGTTCTCAAATTCAAATTCCATATATTCATAACTTTATAGGTAAAATGATGTGACTTACCCTTCCTCCTTTCTCTCCATTAGAACCTGAAAATCCAGGAAACCCAGTAGATCCCTGCACAAAAAATTACAAATGTACTTTTAATTGATATAAATATTTAGTACACCCTTCACGCTGTATACTTTTGATGGATTATAGTATTATATCCTGAAGATGATAACATATTTGATGAAACTTTCTACTATCCATTCAATGACAAAAAATATTCTTTAAACTAAACCCAGCGCTTTTAATAGCAAATGCGTTCAAACTCTTTCTCCCTGTTTCATACTTGGGAGGCCATTGGAAGCATAGCATGGTAGAATATAGAATGCTGTCTTATATCAGGTCAAGCTATTTGTCTATTTATTCAACATCTCCATTGCTGTTCTCCAGAATTTGAGACAGAAATGTCTTATTCTCCTACTTGATCATTCCAAGGATTTAATCTGGAACTTCAGGATATAAACCACTTTTTATTATGAACTATATTTAAGTAACATAACCTACAGGATATTACTGTATTTTTCGGAGTATAAGATGCTCTGGACTATAAGACCTTTTTTCGTGAGGAAAACAAGAAAAAGAAATCTGCCTCTGCCTCTGCCTCCCAGCAATTTTGCTTTGTTGCAGCAAACAGCAAATAGCCTGCTTTAGTTTTATTTTCATTTTCAGCATAGCTTATTAGCACAAGAAAAAAAAAAACTGCTCCCAGCAATTTACCTCCTTGCAGCAAGCAGCAGAGGCCCGCGCAAAATACCTGAGAGCAAAACAGCTGAGAGTTGGGAGGCCGATCCAATCAACTTGTGCTAATTAGGCTGTGCTGAAACTGAAATGAGCTGTTTCTTCTTGCTGCTTGCTGCAAGGAGGTAAACTGCTGGGAGGCAGAGGCCAAAGGGTGGGGGCCAGTGGGTGGGCCGGGCTGTGTTCAGTGTATAAGATGCACCTAAATTTTCACCCCCTTTTAGGGGGGGGAATGTGTGTCTTACACTCCAAAAAATATGGTATTCCAGTGACACAATCCAAACATGAATATAGATATTAACAGTTTTCAGTTACTTACCAAAATTGTTCATGTCCAGAATGCAGTAAAGAATTAACAGTAAGCTTATATATTTATTTCAAAAACAATGACATGTCAAGCCACCATTCATGGAAAGAAGACACAGGAGTAGGAGTAGATGTGTTCCATTACAATAATTTGACTATAAAGCACAAACTCAACATACTTAATTTATATAAATACACACACAGAAAACAAAGAAGAGATGTCCCCTGAATATTATATCATGGATTTTAATTCTATAATTGATTATAATTTAGCTTTTCTGGAATTGTTAGAAAACTAGTGTCTATAGAAAGGGGGTAAGTGATGAAATAAATGTGTGTATGACACCGTGGCACAAGTAAAAAAAAAAAGTGATGTCTTCGCATCACATCATGGTGGTTAGGAATAGACACCTACTGGAACATATATACTATCCATCTATATTGTCATATTTTTATAGTTTAATAATTGTGAAGTTTTTTTAAGAAATAAAAAAAAGATTTTAAATTTTTTATGATATGAATAGTAACTTAATTTCAATATATTGTATTACTTTAGGTACAGATATTGAAGGGAGGTATATACACTGTATGTATATGTGTGTGTGTATACACATATATACACGTGTGTGTGTGTGTGTGTATATATATATATATATATATATATATATATATATATATATATATATTTGTTTTCGTAGATTTTCACGGGTAGAGGTATGCAAGTTTTGGTGTATTCGGGTCTTTTCCCGTGTAAGATTGAGAGTATCTTGGCGACGTTTCGACGAGGTCCCACTCGTCATCTTCAGGCTGGTGTCTTCGGCTTCGTGCTTGTGCGAGGAAAGCGTGATCGGAGCTGCCGTCTCTCTATAAATACTGGTGGGGAGGTGTGAGGTGCTGGCTTTGTTGCTGTGAGCGGGTTGGTTGCCTGTGTTGTTACATCTTGATGAGTTGATGTTTGCAGATTAGTCAGCTGTTTCATAACAGGATGTTACGAAACAGCTGACTAATCTGCAAACATCAACTCATGTATGAGTGTATATACACATATATATATATATATACATATATATATATATATACACACACATACATACACACACATATATACACATATACATAAAAATACATACATATGTATACACACAGACACACACATTTATAATACCTATGCATTTACGTTCACCTATACCTACATAATGCTACATAAATACACACAAAGAGACAAACACATGGCACCTAATACACAGGGCCGGATTTTCCTATAGGCTAACTAGGCTTCAGCCTAGGGCCTCAAGATCCAGAGGGGCCTACACAGTGTGGGATTCTGGGGGTTCCAGGTGGCTCGGCCGAACCCTTTGTTAAATTGCTGGCTTGCCCCGCCCCTCCGCACCACTATTTATTGCCAATAAATAGTGGTGGGCGAGGGGCGGGGGAGCCAGCAATTTAACAAAGGGTTCGGTGTTTTTTTTTGTAATTTTATTGGCCCCCGGAGCTTCAGCAGAGGCTAATTGGCCTCCCGGCTCTCAGCTGATTTGTCTCCGCTGTTTTGCTCAGGGCTCTTCTGCTTCCGTGCAAAGAAACGAAACTGAAACTGCTTTGCTGTTGCTGCAAGGTTGGAAAATTAGGCAGGCAGAATTCTTTTCTTTTTCCTCACCAAAAAAGGTACGTGCAAACAATGGGAATTTTAGGGAAAAAGAGAAGAGTTCAGGATTTTAAAACACAAAAGAAAAAAAAGCTGTATTTAACTAGGGAATTGTAATAATTGAGATACTATTAATTGTATATTTCTGAAAGCAGAAATGGTTAAGTTGTGGTTTGGAGGAATATATGGGGGAAATTATTTGGTTTATTATTATTGGTAAATATAATTAATGGATTTGTAAGAAATTGGATTGCATGGAAATAATTGGAATATTCATGTTCATATTGATTAATATACAAAAAAGGTAGTTATATAACTAATTGATTTATATTAAAATGTTGAATTTATATTAAACAACTAATATTACATAATTAACCAATGTGAGGATGGATATAAAAATAGATGACAATGGGAAGGGGTATAATATAGAATAGAAGGGAAAAAATGAATTTGATTAAGATTAGAGATGAGGATGAGGGTAATATTGGTTTTTTACAAAAATAGATGAGGAATAAATATGGCAAAAAGGAAATATAGAAATTGTAAATTTAATTGAAATGACTAAACACTGTTTAAATTTGTGAACCGGCCAAATACTCTGTTCAAAGAAAATACATTGTATGTTTGTATGTGTGTTTCTAATTATTGTTATTTATTCATATTTGTTCTCTTTTATTCTTTAAAGTTTAACAATTCATTCTTTATCTTAATATCTTTATATTTGTTTGGGGTTGGCTTTCTTCCCTTTCATCTTTTTTATTGTATAGCAATCTTTCTCCTCAAACCTACCACCTCTCTTTTCTTTCCTTCTTACTTTCTCTTCCTCCCCCTCTTCTTCTCCTCCCTACTTCCTCTTCCTTTCTCCTTCTCCTCCTCTCTTCCTCCCTCTCTCTCCTACTCTAATTTCCCTTCCCTTCCTTCATCCCTCTCTATTGCTGTATCCTTTTATGCATATGGACTACTCAGAGGGCTGAAAAAGTTATTTCTGACTGGTCCTTGCACTTTTGACCAGTCCTCGAACTTACGACTGTCCTCACATTTTACGTTTTTGCCCTATCTTGTCACCATGGTGAAGAAAAGCAGTTGTGAAATGAGTGACATGGTTGTTAAGAAAGCTGCACGGGCATAAATGTGAGGATGGTCATAAGTGTGAGGACCGGTCAAAAGTGCGAGGCCCAGTCAGAAATGACTTTTTTCAGCCCTCTGGGTAGTCCTTTTGTGCATATGGACTACTCAGAGAGCTGAAAAAGTTATTTCTGACTGGTCCTCGCACTTTTGACCAGTCCTCGAACTTATGACTGTCCTCACATTTTACGTTTTTGCCCTATCTTGTCACCATGGTGAAGAGAAGCAGTTGTGAAATGAGTGACATGGTTGTTAAGAAAGCTGCACGGGCATAAATGTGAGGATGGTCATAAGTGTGAGGACCGGTCAAAAGTGCGAGGCCCAGTCAGAAATGACTTTTTTCAGCCCTCTGAAAAAAGTCTATGCACATAGCCACACCCACCCGGTCACATGACGAGCTACCCACACCTACACAGTCACATGACCAGCTAGCCACGCCCACCCAGTCACATGATTGCCAAGCCACACCCCCAACTAAGCCACGCCCACATAACCTGTTGTTAAAAAATTGAATCCCACCACTGGTGAAAGGGCCTCATAAGTGGAATAGCCTAGGGCCTCTTTCAATTTAAATCCGGCCCTGCTAATACATGATGTACTGCTTTGCTACTTTTGACTTTGTTTTTATGACTGTTTCGTTTATTGTTTATGGTTTAAAATCAGTTTGAGTCAGTTTTGACTCCTTACAACTAGTGAAAAAAACCACACAACCTATCTATTGTTGCATAATTATTTGAAGTCAGACTCAATCGTAATAGTGAGATTAATATTATTTAGACCTGAACATCAATAAAAATTTCTAAATTGTGCCAGCTTTACAAGGAAAAATACTTTTAATGTCTCATTGCCATAACTATAAGCATAGCTGACCACTCCACTGACATTTCTATGACGTGGCATTTGTATCAATAATAATAATGGATTATAAGCAGTTTGCTTCCATAATGGGTAGACAGATGCTATATAATGAAAGAAACTAACTGGGCTTGAATGTGGAACATCGGGAAGATTAATAAAGAATAATTCTACTCAGAATTATTGCAAAATGTTCTACTCATATGAAATGTGATCCTTGCCTACCATTAAAACACTTCATATTATTTGATTTCTGCATTTGAATATAGAAAAAAGATTCCAACAAAATATATAGTATGCATAGATGGTGGCATGGTAGAGTTTTCTTTTGTTCCATTAAGTCTTTGTTGACTCCCAGTGATTGCCTGGACTAGTTCCTGCAATTTCCTTAGCAAGATTTCAGAAGTGATTTGACAGTGTCTGCTTCTTAGGGCTGAGAGTTAATGACTGACCCAACATCATTCTAATGGCTTTGTGCCAAAGGTAGGACTAGAAGTCACAGACTCCAGGTTTCTAGACTTGATTCATGGTAGTATACATTATATAGTGTCAACATAATTGTCCAAAGTAGGGTATCCAGTCAGAATTACTGGACTTGCTTCCATTAGAACAGGGTGTCAAGACCCATGGGCTGGATCCTGCCCATGAGGCCACCCTGGAAACAGTGAAGGACCGGCCCGTGGTGCCTCTGCCAGTGAAAACAGAGCTCAGGAGGGCCACACGCTCTGTTTTTGGTTGCGACAGCATCCTGCAACTCTCTGCCAGCAAAAACGGAGCTCGGGAGGCCCACCCCACAAGCTCCGTTTTCACTGGCAGAATGGTGCAGGAGGCCATCGCAGCTGAAAATGGAGCTCGGGAAGGCCGCACGCTGCCCTCCCAAGCTCCGGTTTCATTGGCAGAGTGCTAGCAAAACAATTACTAGCAAAAGGGGCATTTGATGTGGAGCTGGCCACACCCATCCCAGACCCCTGAGGTCAAACACAATCCTGATGTGGCCCTCAATAAAACTGAGTTTGTCACCCCTGCATTAGAAGAACAGTATGCAATGAATGTAATGTTTAGATTGTAGTAAAGGTGTTTTATAATTCCAACTAGATCAATTCTAAGTAACAAACTCATACACATCCATTTACCTAAACAAATGTGCACACACTATTTGTAGTTTTCCTACAAATAAAACATATACAAAAAAAAATGTGCACGCATTATTAAATCTTAAATTACATATACCTCCCTAATGCTGTAGCAAATTTACCTTAGGGCCTTGTCTTCCTGGATATCCTGGCAAACCGGGAACACCAAGTTTACCCTATAATAAAAAAACCCCACACATTAATTTTTCATTTACTTTTTCCAAATATATCCATATTGCAACTACCGGTAGCATTTCTATGTAGCCATCTTACTTACTGATTTGTAGATGGTTGGATCTGTCTGCCTATTCATAGATTGATCTATTTGTCTGTGTTTGTCCATCTATCCCATAGATACTGAATTTGTGAGGATCAGAATAGACATTTATGAAAGCTGGAATACATGAGACCTGCTCAGATTAAGCCATGGGGGCAGAAAGGGTGATTTTGGAGTATTTCAACATAAAGAGCATGCAGGAAAAGACCAGGATAAAGATCTTTAAGAAGATTTATTAGAGAACCTCAAAATAAACAAAGATTACTATGTGAACTAGATAAGCTGATAGTACCCAAGAGAAAAATCAACAAAAGTAGTTTACTGGGACTGACCAAGCTTCATCAAAAGTCATAGAACTGGATGAAAACTGTAAAGTTTGGAGACATCACAGAAAATGAGACATTATACCAGGTGTCGCTACTTCTACTTTGATTCTTCTGGCGTTCAAACCAAGCATAATCAGATAGTGGGTAGGGACGGAGGAGGATGAAAAATGAGCTAATGTAGTGAATAGAAATTTTGGAAGTACTTTGCTTAGTATGGTAATGATAGCATTGCTGATGATTACTGTGCTCCTGAGATACAATAAATTAACTGTGTGGCCTTCTGTTTGTGATGTTTTGGGGTCCTTCCTATCTTCTACTAGCCCCGTGATGGCAAACCTATGGTACGTGTGCCACAGGGGGCATGTGGAGTCCTCTCTGCAGGCACATGAGCTGTCGTCCAACTCAGCTCCACCCCACATGTGTGCGCGCCTCCCACTGGCCAGCTAATTTTCAGGTCTCGCATGCGGAAGACGGGCCTGCATGTCTGGGGGGGGGTCACATGTGCATGCATGGGAGTGGGCGGGATTATCACACCCCCCGTGGCCCCTTTTTGGTTCTAGGAGGCTGCAGGGAGGCCTGTTAAGAGGCCCAAAACAGACTGCAGGGGTTGTGCGCCCCCCCCCCCCCCCCGTGGCCCTTTTTTGGTCCTAGGAGGCTGCAGGGATGCCTCCTAGGTCCAAAACGGGGCAGGGGGGCCATGCATGGATGTGCAGGGGGCAGGAGTAGCACACACATGCATGGGAGGGTGGGTCATAGGTCATGCGCATTGCATTATGGGTGCAGGCATGAGCACGCGCTGTCACGCATTGCATTATGGGTGCACGCACTTTTGGCACGTGAGAACAAAAAGGTTAGGCATCACTGTACTAGTCCAGAAGAAAGGAATTAAGTACTGTTGAGGTTTTGCTTAAGCATGCCTCTGCTCTACAAAGCACCTGGTTCTCTCTGAGCAAACAAAATATCTGGCAGCACTATATTTTCTCCAAAAGTTATCTGTTTCTGAATTGATTATGTTTTCGTTCATGGAACCAAATGTAAATAGTCACATAATGCAAAAGTAAGGCAAACCCTCTTGGGCAAGGGTCACGTTGTTTGTACTGTTACACTGCTTCTGCCCTCATAGAACACTTCACTAAGTCAGTCACTAACAAATCAAATCTCCTTATCAATGATTCTAGCAATACATAATGAGAATACGGAATCCCTAGCTTAATATCTGTTAAATCTTTGCGCTGAGAAAATACTGGCAAAATTTCATTACTTTACTGGCCTCTTTAATACTGACTGTGCAAACAGGTGTTGTTTGGCCATTACTGCAAACCAGAGTTCGGAAGATGTGCTGTGCGCTGCCAAGCCTTGGCAAGAATTCGAAAATGGAGACGTTTGCTTTTTCAGCTGCACTTTCTCTTCAGTTCTTTTTGGGTATTCCAATGATATATCTAACTGGTTGGACTTAGTTTAACTCTTTGCATGATAGAATATTAATTTGAGCTAATTTAATTCCCCAGTGCCTGACAGGGCCAACTGAACCCTTTTGTATGTTCCCATGACATACTTCTCCAATCCAGTTAAGCATATTGAATGAATAAAGATCATTATGCTGAAAGGAAAATATATTAAAATATAGAACAGTAGAAGACACATAGCAAGGAGAAACTAGTATGGGATCAGGAAGAATTTGAGGCCTTAGCTAAATATTTCAACTTCCCGAACTCCTTTTTTTACCCTGAAATATTCACTTTTCAAACTTTCAGGGCGGCAGTAGCTATGATGATAAAGATGTTCCTGAGACCTTTAATATATACATTATTAATATATACAATAATCAGGGTCCTCAGAAATGTACATAGTTATGATCCTTGAGATCTCATCAAGTAAGAAATTGTAAAAGCATTCCATCCAAAAGCATTCCAGGAGCCATGGTGGCGCAGTGGTTAGAGTGCAGTACTGCAAGCTACTTCTGCTGATCACTGGCTGCCAGCAGTTTGGCAGATCGACTCTCGCCAGGCTCAAGGTTGACTCAGCCTTCCAACCTTCTGAGGTCGGTAAAAATGAGGAGCCAGATTGTTGGGGGCAATATGCTGACTCTGTAAACCACTTAGAGATGGCTGTAAAGCACTGTGCCTCGTTATATAAGCCTAAATGCTATTGCTATTGCTATTCAAGAGGAAAGGAAATTTGTGTCTTTAATACATTTTATACCTATGTAAACAATCTTAAATCTTAACTTGTGTTAGTTTACAATTATAAGCTTGCTGCTTTTCTTAAATGATCTTCTGAAATGTGCTAAATATTTTAATCTATATTTTATAATTTGTAGCATTAGATTTTGTGACTCATTAGACAAATATTTTAAAGATGCAATATGAAATAATATTGGCCATCCAAACTAATAAAACAATGTTGTTTTTTAAAAAAATAACTATGTATCACACATTTAATTATTGTTGCTATGTAAGATAGTTTGAGTATATATTGCTTTTATTAATTTTTAGAGCAAATAATCTAATATTATTTCTGAAATGTTTACATTTGGGTAGAGTTAACTAATTCAACGAATTATGGCTTTTAGCCTTCCTGGATTTTGTGTTGTATTTTGTTTTACTTTCTCTCCAACTTATTATTTCACTCCCTTTCCCAATTGAAACAAAAACAAAAACTTCAGGTAGGAAAAGTGACAGAAAATCCTGATTCTAAGGCATGCCAAATCTGAATGTATATAAATGAACCATGGACTGATAAATTTCAATAAGCTCAGGGCAATGACAGGAAAATTTGACAGAAAAAAATTCAAGCTGAAGCTGAAGAGAAAAAGAACTCAAGAACTCATCAAACTAAAGGGTGTTAAAATTATAATCACAGCAGGGGGAGGAGAAATAGTTGAAGGAAAGCAAGACAGTTACCCAATGGTGGTCTTTAACTAATAAAAATGTGGAGAAAAAAAATGGTTGGTTTGAGTGTACAAGTAGTCCAAAATTGTAGAGCTGGCTTCAGAAAGTATAAAGCTCAGCATAAGCCTTTGTTGACAAAGAATGAAGAAAACAACAACAAAAGGTTTTTTTTTTTTTTTTTTTTTTTTAATTTCAGAATAAAGGCAAGTAACAGAATTAGTATATCAATTGCTCGAAAAAGATGCTAAAAGCAAAGTGATAATAAAAAAAAAGAGGTACAACTACACAGGTTTTATTTTTCTTTTCTTTGACAATAGGGTATGCATTCCATGGCCCGTGGTGAACAATGAACTGAATGGACCAATGTATTGCAATTACTAGTTATTCAATTTATAATCAAACTGAGCAAGAGACAGCAAAATGTTTTGCTTACAAAAAAAGGCAAACATGCTTTTAGGCTGAATCAGTAGTTATGTTGTACCATTTTCAAATCATGAAAAATAATAGTTCTGTCACACCTTGTGTTTAAATCTGAACACGACAACTTAAAGGATTACAGAAAAAAAAATGGAACACAATCAAGGAAGGATAATGAGGACAATCAGAGAACTGCAAGACTGGATTTTCCAATCCTATATGGAAAAATCCTGGTTAGGTTTAACCTTAATAAGAAGGATAGAAGTGATGCAATAGGATGGACTGCCAAATACTGAATGGATGTCACACAGAAAAAGGCCAAGATTTATTCTCTATCAACCCAAAGTATGGGATGCAGAGTACAGATTCTAGATGAATGTTAAAAAGAAACCTTAAAAATGTTTTAATACAAAAAGTAATTTGACAGCGGAACCAATTGTCGGCACTGCAAGGGGAAAGAGCTGGATGTATTGGAGGAGATAGTTGACAAACATCTATCAGAGATACCTTAATTCTTGCACTGAGCAGGGTATGGCCTCAATGGATTCTTTCATCTCTAAGATTCTATTATCCCTGCACAAACTGCGGAGGAAGTAAAGACGCAGCTTGCTCTATAACCAACCTGTAACAACTTCACATAAAGATACACTCATGTCAACCTTTGCAAAATTGCACTAACTCTTGTCTTCTTTTCTTCTGCCCATATTCCTTTCAGTCGAATTCTATATCTATCGTAATACTTCCCTATCAAAGTAGCACAATAGGAATTAATTTAGGTTGTGGGAGAAAGTGAGTTTCATATATTCTTGTTTTTTATGGAATTGGAATTTAATGGGGACTTAGTGATAACTTTCCAATTATGCTACCATTTATCCATAATTATACTAGTGGCGTTCTTTATTCATGACCTTTTTAACAGCTGGCAAGATGTCTTGAAACATTATAAGGATCATTAATTCCAAATAGCTCCCAACAGTTAAGTGAAGCTGAAAGGAATATTTTCTGAAATGAATGATCTGACTTTGAAAGTATTTTTATGACAGCTTATAAACTCTCTAGCATCAAATTGTAACCTTCCTTTCTCTTTTTCACATGGAAAGGGAATCACCTGGGGAGAGTCATTTGAAAGATTCTTATAAACAAGCCTGTCTTTGATCAGACCACCGATGCAATCAAGCAGAAATGTAGTTGAATGAAAGGCTATCTACACACCAAGCAGAGACAAAGGACACCTGGAAGTAATTTGGAAAAGGTGAAAGAATTTGCCTAAATGTACAGACATTACAGAAACACAATCCAGGAATAGTCAATTAAGGGACTATTTCAGAAAGTGAAACAAAATATTGAGGAGACGTTACAAATTACTCTTGGTCCATTGCTCTACCATTGTTAATGTACTGTGGTTCTTCTTTTCTTTCCTTGATAAGAAACTGTGGTTTTAAGTGAGAGATTTGGTTTTCCACTTTACACCTCCCACTGGCATAACAGTCATCATGTAAAAATGTGTGTTGTTTTTTCCCCCCCTATGGACATATGGAGACATAGATTCTCATAACTTCAAATACATGACAAATCTGAAGTCCCCACACGGTCTACATACATGTTTCCATATGGCTTTTGTGTTTCAATTATTTCTGTCACATTCTTGCTAGTATTGTACCAGTCAATTCTCATAATAGAAATATCAAACCATTACTCACCTTTTCTCCAGCTTGGCCAGGGCCACCTGAGTCTCCTGTGGGACCTGCACGACCTTTGGGACCTTCAGGGCCATCTTCTCCTCGGGGACCAAGAGAACCAACTTCACCCTTAAAAATATTGTGTAAATAAAACAATAAAAATTAACCACCTGTCTCCATAATAAAAAACAAAACAAAATCCTGAACACTAATTAAAACCCACCTACTGACTCTCTCAAATTAAGTTCCTCCTAAAGCTTTCTAAAGACAATAACTATGGAGCCACCCCAGAAAGCAAAAAAGTTGGCATCCCTTTGCTTTCTTTTCTCTAACTTGATTAATAAGCATCCTCATTAGTTGTTCTGGCTAAAATCAGAAAGGTTGACACTGTTAATTAGAGCCAACTGTGATACAGGAAGAAATCCTCATTCAGTTTTTTCTTCTGTAAAACCTTTTTGTTCCAGATCCCTCAAGATTTATCATCTGAGCCATGGTGGCGCAGTGGTTAAAATGCAGAATTGCAGGCTAATTCTGCTGACTGCCAGGAGTTCAATTCTGATCATCTCAAGGTTGAGCTAGCCGTCCATCCTTTCGAGGTCGGTAAAATGAGGATCCAGATAGTTGAGGGCAATATGCTGACTCTGTAAACCACTTAAAGAGGGCTGAAAAACACTGTGAAGTGGTATGTAAGTCTACTGTAAGTGCTATTGCTATTGTTATTAATCTTGGCAGTGGTTTCAATTTATTTTGAATAAATTTAATAAGTATTATTCAAATTTGATCCATCTTAAAAATCACCTTGATCCATTATATACAAAATATATATATATCAATAAATACAGATAGCATAGAGAATGTTCTTGCTCAACAGTATGAAACTGCATGCAACTTTGGTAAAATATCAGCTTCTGTACTATATTGAGACACAGCTTCTGTACTATATTAACAATGCTAAATAAAAGAAAATCAATTGCTATATTTTGTTATAAAGTTTTTGGAGGTTTTGAGGTTTTCATAAGTTGACTCTACCATTGTAAGAAGAAGCAACAAGCAATTTGAAATCTGTCAGAAGAGTACAAAAGCTTACACATTCATACCAATAATGAGAATCATAAATCATAAATGTCCGGAGAATACTAAAAGCAGTGCTACTTCAGGAGTAGCATACAGGAATGCATGTACAATGATTCTACTACTGTGTGTTGTTAATTTATAATTTAAATTACTTTAAGGTTACCTTCCAGCCAAGGTGAGACAATATGGAACAATTAAACAGTAAATACCGGTATTAATCAAAATTCAATGATTAATAAAGCATAAATAAAGCTTTAATGAAAAGCTTTAACCCATCCTCAGATTATAAAAATCAGAAGCCATGCAGCCCCATAAAATACACCTCTTAAGAAAAGTTCTCAAAAAGCAAATGTATCTTTTGACATTTCCTAAAGTTTTGCAGTAAAGCAATTACTAAAGAGCTCTCATCAATCTACTGGGTAGGGATGGCAAGGAGAGGAATGGAGGATAGAGAAGTTCTAGTACAAAGCTTAAACCATTGTCTTGCTAGCAAAGATCACATGCCTTCAGGTTCCTTCTTCTAAACATTGTCACCTACAAGGTCTTGATGGCAAAGGTCTTCTCTGGGCATTGAAGTAGCACAACAATCTAAGTAGTCCTTGATTTACAATTGTTTGTTTAATGACATTTCAAAATTACAATGGCCATGGAAAAAGTGATTTACAAACCATCTCAAAGTTTTGACTGTCACACCACGCCTAAAGTCATGTGATCCCATTTTGAATACTTGACAGCTGGCATGCATTTACAATAGTTGTCACTTCTTGTGTCATGGAACTGTGATTTGTGAGCTTCCCTGATGGCTTCTGATAAGGAAAGTCAATTGGGGAAACCGGATTTGCTTAACAACCACGTGATTCATTTAACAACCAGGTGTCTGAGGTAAAAATGATCATAAAATCAGATCTCAAGATGACTCGCCTAACAACTATATTGCTTAGTGACCAAAATTCCTGTCCCAATTATGGTCATAAATTAAGGAATACCTGTACTGGGATTTATGACAGTAATCAATCTGGTTTTGATTACATCAGGCCTTTGAGTGGAGGTGAATTAAAAGATTCCTCCTATATAGTATATGACTGAATAGATTTGTACGGTTCCTTAGCATAGGAATAGTCTACTATATTGTATTAAATTCATGGGTGTTAAAGTTTGTTAGTTATCATGTTGCTTTATTCCTACTTACACATGGCAGGATAGTCAATTCCTTAGTCAATCGATGACCGGAGCAACATAGAAACTAATTATTAAAAATCTAATATAGTCATCTTGCCTCTCCTTTTGGGGGAACAGAAAAGGTTTCAGAAGAATCAATCATATCCATAACACAGTAGTTTTCATTAACGGAGATCTCTAAGTATTCAATTGAGACTAAAAAACCTCCTGAGTGGATGAAGTGATGATGAAAATTCTCTTTATCAATTTAAATACAATTCCTCAATAGATCTAAAGAGGTTTTAAAGTAATACTTACTCTATCGCCCTTAAGGCCCATATCACCTTTAAATCCAGGGAAGCCATCTTCACCCTATGTTTTTTTGTGAGAAAGGGAAACATAATAGACTTCCTTAAGAAATCAGAAGGGAAGTTGTTAAAGAATTTGGATAAATTAATATAATGCATATGACAACCATAGCTATTTTCAAAGCAAGCCTTTTTTATAGTATTAGACTGGCATAACATTGCTATTTTGCTGTAAGTCACAATAATGTACATTACTAAAGCTAGATCATAATACACCAAATTACTGCAATATGGCAATTTCTGTATCCGGGAAAAAAATGTCACAGCTGAGTTGAATTACTTTTCAGATTTAAAAAAAGAAGAATGAATAATGAGAAAGGTGCTTAAGGCAATAAGAGCATTCATTTCTTAATTTGTCAATGAGTTCTTCATTATAACATTACTTTTCCTTATTAAATTTCCTACTTATATTTCCAGCTTTAAAAGTGTTGGGATTTTTTCCCATCAGATATTTCATGTTCAAAAGTCGATTGGAATATAACCCAAATATACTACTACTGATTAAAGGCTGATTAACATAGCCATATGTTATTTGTTGCAATGATGCAGTAACCACAGCAAATCTGCACCTGGAAAGTTAAAAAAAAAAACAGCATTTCCAAGTCATCCAGTCAATGAAATCTAGCATTTCATCTAATTCAGAATGAGTTTATTCTGTTGACAGTCTTTGTTTCTCTTTTTTTAATGTTATCTTTTCTGATGCTGGTGGATGAACCAGGAATCATTGGGATCAAACATTAGAATGCTTTTGTAATATATCAATGGTATTATGAGCCTTGGCAAATACTTTCTAGGATTCCTTTGTAGGCTGCTTTCTATGAGTTTACATTTGGATACTACCAGACACAATTAGTATCTCCCAAATTAGAACATAAATCTCTCCTTTTTTTTTCTTACTTCTCTGAATTTTGCCAAGCAGTTCTCAGATCAAACACACAGACTAAGAGGTAAATTTAAAGAAGTGGCAGGTTAAATTTTATGAATTTTCCTGAGTACAAAAAAAATGCAGGTCAAACTTTGTAAAGTTAAAAAAATACTCTAGATATATTTATTACACAGTTATTGCTCTCCAGCAGTATAGTCCAATTGAACTTTGGGGAAAAAAGCAAATTTTGTAGAATATGAAAAGATTTGTCCATTCCTGTTTCTGACATTTTGTCATGTTCATAGAGTCCCCGTAATCTTTAATACAATTGTAGATGCTATAAATAATATCTCAAAAATCAGGAATCCTGGGAAATGTAGTTCCCAGCAATAATGATGCTAGAATTATTGGCCATTAATTAATTAAAGGAATAGAATTTTTCTTATGCATCACATCAAAGTAGTCAGGAACAGCACATTTTCTATGGGAGATGACTAGGCTGAGTCGGAGGGAGGAGATAAATACGTCATCTGTCTTAAATCCCTTCATACCCACAAGAGATCTAAGTCCAGGCCCACCTTGAATTCCACTAACACTTATCTACTGCCTATTTGCTTACTACCATTAGTAGTAGTACAGATTCTTATAGAGAGCTTAAGCTTGCAATAAATCTTTATATTCATTTGAACTGCCTGAATTTCTTGATTTCTCATGCTTGACATTTCATGTCCTATTTTGAAAGAAATACAATAATTTTTTTGCTGAAACCATTGGGCCATCTGAAGACATTTCAGGAGGGTACTCTGCCACTGTGGCAATTTTTCAGCCACCATATAATAATTTTGCACCTAAATGTAATAAGACATTATTTTCACTTAAATTTTCACATTTAGTTGGGGTGTTTTTTGCAATAGAATGTAAAAATAATTAACATATTACCTTTTCACCTTTGCCACCCTTTAGCCCTCGGACGCCATCAGCACCCTACGGGAAAATACAGATGACAATGGCCAAGGGACCAGATTAGCAAAAATTAATGCCAAGTTGATTGTTTATCAAATAAAAACATAATGTTAGCCATACCTTTACACCACGGGGACCAGGATAGCCAACTGGTCCATGAGGACCTGCAGGCCCCTAAAAGACATTGAATTGTATTTAGATTATGCTATGTGAAGTTTAAACAGCATACATGTACTACGACAACACACATGATGCTACACATTTACTTTTCAAAAGTATCAGCAGCTGCTGTTTTGAACATGCTTTCTTAATATAATCTACAGGGTTCAAGTTTAAATATCCAGAAATATGTTAACTTAAGGCAATTGCGAACGACTTACAATCATTCATTTAGTGACTGTTTGATGGGCACTGACATGACTGGTTTTCGCATATAGAACCCCTACAGCATCCCCATGGTGATGTGATCAAAATTCGGGTGCTTGACAACTGGCAGGTGTTTATTACAGCTGCACTGTCATGTGATCCCCATTGGTAACTTTCCCAGCCAGCTTCCAACAAGGAAAATTAATGAAGAAGCCTAACTATTGCTTGCTTCACCTAAAAGCTGCAGTGATTCGCTTAGCGACTGTGGCAAAAAATATGGTAAATAGGGCACAACTCACTTAACAACGGTCTTGCTTACCAACAGAAATTTTGGGATCCACCTTGGTCATAAATTGAGAACTGCCTGTATATCGCATCAGTCAAGAAGCCCAAATTGTGAATGAGTACATAATGGCAGTCAACTGAGGAATTATTTAGTAAAACTTGTACTAAGAAAGGCTTTTCAAGTGTAGTGGGAAATAAATATAGAATTTTAAACCAAGGCTACAGTGAACTGTGCCATGCAAATCCATCTAAATTGAATGACAAATTATATAGCTATTTAGGACAATTTTATACCTTTATATAGCCAATTTTTAAAAATCACATCAAATAAATCTTTATTTATACTAATTTATGAACATTAGGAAATACCATGATAGTATTGGGCATGCTATCCTTAGTTCCTATATTTCTTAACAGAGGGACACATATGGCTGACTCTCCTTTTTTATTTATGCTAGGATACATTTCCAGATTAGGACTATCATTCACAGTGTTGGAAGCATTAATTCCTCAAGAGAAAATTAAAAGTAACTCATTGGCTGCAATGTTTTTCTTCTTCTTTTAATTTACACAGGATTGGCTGGAGGTCAGAAATGAAGTCAATGGAGGAAGAAATAATTATTCTATCACCCATACACAAATACCTAAGGTAAATTTAACCTGGACTGAGAACCTGCATACTTCCTTTTACATACATTGACCATTACATAAATAGAATGTTATATGAGCAAAGAAACAAAAAATAAATGCAATTAATATTTACTACATTAATCTAGTAGATGTTGGAAACATTGTTTCTAATAAGGGAAGGGAAAACATTGTTTTTACTAAGAGTTTGTGTGTGTGTGTGTGTGTGTGTGTGTGTGTGTGTGTGTGTGTGTGTTACAGAAGAACACTTAGAATTTTGGATAGTCAATGTTGGGCAAAAAAACACCACTGGATAAAAAGGAAGAATTATGGAATTAAAGGAACCATCTGTATTCTGCTGAACCATTTCAGTAATGATACTGTGCTGTATTATCTCTAGTTAGATGACGGATGTTCCTCGCCATAGTTTTAATGTACTAATCTGTAAAAACATTATCTTTCAAATCTGTTGGTCCATGCTCTTGTGAACATAGTGGTACCTTGGTACTCAACTGCTTTGAAACTCAACAAATTTGGTATTCAAAGCATTTTGGTCTGATAATTTTGTCCTAGTACTTTTTGTTTGTTTGGTCTTAACGCACAAGCTAAAACCTATCATTGTCATCTGCCTTGTGATTCACTACATCATGGGTGTCAAACTTGTGAAGTTTCACAATGTTTTGTGATGTTTTTCCCCTTCACAGAGCTGGGGTGGGCATGGCCTGCACATGACACATCTGGCCCGTGGGCTGCCAGTTTGACACCCCTGCATTACATTATTCCTATATACTCATCATTTTTGGTACTCATTGCACCTCTCAAAACCAATTTATGATGAATACTGAATTACCACTGTAGTTCAATACATGCTCAGACTTCTACCTACCATATTCAGCTCAGCATGGAGTGTTTTAAAACTAGTCTGCTGGATTTAGCTATCTGTGTGACATGTACTTTGACAATATAACCTGGCCAACATAAAGTTGTTGAGTAGTAATTTAAAGTTCACTTCATTTGAACCAGTGGTGAAATCCAATTTTTTTTTACTACCGGTTCTGTGGGCGTGGCTTGGTGGGCATGGCAGGGGAAGGATACTGCAAAATCTCCATTCCCACCCCATTCCAGGGGAAGGATACTGCAAAATCCCCATTCCCTCCCCACTCCTGGGGGAAGGATATTGCAAAATCTCCATTCCCACCCCACTCTGGGGCCAGCCAGAGGTGTTATTCACCGGTTTTCTGAACTACTCAAAATTTCCGCTACCGGTTCTCTGAACTATTCAAAATTTCCATTACTGGTTCTTCAGAACCTGATATAACCTGCTGGATTTACCTCTGATTTGAAGTAATAAAAGTTTACTTTATTGAAAGTAATTTAAAATGGAAAAACAGGTGGGGCATTCATTGAGAATAGAATAAAAAATCATTCTTATTTTATTTATTTGCCGCCCATTTCGTATCAAAATGACTCTGGGCAGATTTATTGCTTAATTTATTGAAAATGTATAGAGTTATTTCTTTAATTATTGAGTTTATTGACGGAAGCATTGGGAAAACCAGGTTGTTCTAGAGAACAGTATAAATAGTATGAAATTATTACCATCATCATCATCTATGGCCAATAACAAAAACGGTATGGAAAATATTCTCTTTTACCCACTTTTATGCTGAACGTTCTCTTTGTATCCTTAAATAGAGAAGATCCAGTTGATGAATTTATATATCACTTTTGTTTTTTTGTTAACCACTCAGAGTTGTACAGCTAAAATAGTACAAAAAGAATTGCATGGGAGAAATAAATAAATATTCTTCAGTAGAAGAAAAAAAGTTTGTAAAAAGCTAGATTCCAGTGACTATAGTTTTAATGGTCTAAGATATCGATCACCGTTAACATAGTTCCTTGTCTGTCACTCTTTTTCTAATTACACACTCACTCATACATACACACTTTATACAGCAAAATAAATAAATAAATAAACATACCGTGTCACCTTTCTCTCCAGTCTGCCCTTCTTTGCCTGGATGGCCCTATTAACAAGATATATTTAGGGAAGGAGAAACACTTAGTGTGCAAATACCATACAATTAGTTTCACTCCTACTCTCAAACAATATTTTAAAAACACATTACCAACTTGAAATATCCACCCTCCTCTTACAGAAACTTGGCATCTATAATCTGATTAGGGATAGACAAATTCTACTAAATTTCTACTAATGATTATTTTCAGTAACTTCTAAGAAGGATTCACAGTCTAAAATTGACATAGGTTTAGAGCAGTGGTTCCCAATGTGGGGCCCACGCCCCATGGGGGGGGATTTGATTTTTAATGGGGGCAATTTGAACCTTGTTTAAACCAAGTTAATGGACTTTTAGGCTTCCTCCGTGTGAGTAGAGTTCAGTTTTTGAGTAAAGGAAGAATTATATGTCACGGGGGGAAGGAGGGTATCAGGATTTTAGAGATGCTTAGGTGGGGCATGGCCAAAAAAAGGTTGGGAACCACTGGTTTAGAGTGAACAGTGTGAAGCAACAAAGTCATTGAGGTCTTTGGACAATCTGATGGATAATGACTATTGTTTTTATCACCTGTTGCTTCTGCTGAGTACATCCCTAGACTCTGGCCTCAACAATGACATCACTGAATAAATATCAGAAGAATCCATTTGATTCATCAAGGTCAAAGCCCAACAAATTGGAAGCAATTTGCTTTCCCAGAAGCATTCTCCTTCCCCAGAAGCATTCCCCAGAAGCATTCTCTTTCATAGCTTCCCCAGAAGCTTTCGCTTTCATAGACATTCTAATTGGAAGATTCCATTTTATTGTATGAGCAAATTACTTTTAATAGCCTCCAACTGAGTCCATGTATCAGGCTTTAGATGGAAGACACAACCATATAATTGAAGTTCTATTCCCTGTTCAACAGGGATTGATTGCATGTGCATAACATAACGAACAGGGCTTTGATCATATATCTTGATCATATATCATATATCTTGATCATATATCAAGATATAGTAATGAATTCTATATATTCTATAAGTTACTTAAAATGAAAAATTACTTAATTTAAACTACCTTGAATCCAGGAAAGGTATTATGGAATTTGGGGAGAAGGCAAAATTAGCTTTTAAAATAGGAACTCTATGGTACCATATATAAGAGAACATAAGGTTATTTAGAAACAAGTTGTTTAGTTGTCTTTCCTGCTAAATGTTTAGTCTGGAACCAGTTAACATGGCAAAAATTATTTCCTATTCCCACTCTTCTTTTGTGTCCTCCTGGACACGTGGCTGTCTTTAGAAGAACATATGACGGCTGTGGCCAGGGGAGCTTTCTATCAGGTTCGCCTGATTCGCCAGTTGCGCCCCTTTCTAGATCGGGACTCCTTACGCATAGTCACTCATACCCTCATCACTTCCCGACTAGATTACTGTAATGCTCTCTACATGGGGCTACCCTTGAGGTGCACCCGGAGGCTCCAACTGGTCCAGAATGCAGCCACGTGGGTGATTATGGGAGTGACATGACACTCACATGTAACACCTCTCCTACGCGAGCTGCACTGGCTCCCGGTGGTCTTCTGAGTGCCCTTCAAGGTGTTGGTTCTTACCTTTAAAGTGCTCCATGGCTTAGGACCTGGGTACCTACGAGACCACCTTCTGCAACCGATAACCTCCCACCAACCAGTACGCTCCCACAGAGTGGGCCTCCTGAGGGTGCCGTCAGTAAAGCAATGTCGGCTGGTGGTTCCCAGGAGGAGAGCCTTCTCTGTGGGGGCACTTGACCTATGGAACAGGATACCCCCAGGGATACGAATGATCCCAGATCTCCGTACTTTCCGTCGTGCCTTGAAGACTTTTCTATTTCACCAAGCTGGACTGGCATAAATTTTCAGTTTATCTAAATTCTACGCTGAGGATCTTAATTGATGAGCCAAATCGGTTTAATTATTTTAAATTATTTTTATTTCACATTATATGTTTGTTATTCTGACTGTTCACCGCCCTGAGTCCTTCAGGAGAAGGGCGGTATAAAAATAAAAATAAATAAATAAATAAATAAATAAATAAATAAATAAATAAATAAATAAATAAATAAATAATATATAGGAAAGTCAGAAATACAGAATGAAATACACCTTGTTGCAAACATTTTTCACCCTTTTATTTGTTTGATTGTTACATATGGGCTGCTATAGGGCTTCCTCTGAAAATAAATTATTAGTTGTCACTAGGAAAAAAGAAAATTGAATGCGGGTGGAGGGAAGCAGATTTTGGTGAATATCACATTTCCCATAATATATAATGTTAGGCTACAAACAAATCAGAGTCATAAAATAATTCAAAATAATAACTGGCATAATCCAGCTCTTTACGGATACCAGCATACCATGAGGCTGTCCTTGCTACATTAATAACACTAGCATCTAGAGATTGTCTTCAAAAATATAAATTAATATTGACAATATATCAAACCAACAAAGATGCTCTTTTATTTTAGATCCAAATATTTCTAAAGGTAATGGAAAAGCAAGTAAAGCACTGGAAGTATTTCTCCATTTGATGTGTTTTCTCTGGAAGATAGGAATTGATTATTTTTATCTGTCACCAAACATTACACTAAACTACACCATTAAAGTTATGGCACAATAAGATGAAAGAAAACAGTAATAGAAATATTTTACTGCCAGTGCAAATCAATAGCCTGAAGACTTTCCCACTGGGTTAAATCCACATGCAAGTTAAGAGTATAATAAATCTTCAGCTTTGTTGTCCATCTCCAAAACGTAAGAATAAATATTAGATTGAGATTGTGATTTAGGTTGTAATTGTACATAGTTACTTAGAAGCAAGATTAAATTAGATTTACTTTTGAGTAAAAATGTACTACTGTACTAGGGTTGCATCATCCTGCTCATTCCATTTTGCTCTATTCTTTTAATACCTACTTTAGGGAAAATATTTCATTTCTGTT